TTCATGGCTTCATTCCTCATATATTTGGCCGAAACTCAAACAAATAGTCAGTTCGCGACCATAGCTAATGGCATGTGGTGGTCGGTAGGTATCTCTCTTCACTTTTACAAACATACTGTCCATTAATTTATATAAATGTCCATAAATTGTAATTTACATTTAGATAACTTTCTATAAATTTAATTTAATATAGTGTGTTGTTATTTATGAATTGTTTCAAATTATTAATAATATTGAATATATTTTTTAAAAATATTTTTTTAATTCAAAGGTTGAAACACTTTTCACGGTTGGCTACGGAGATATAGTTCCCGTAAGTGTTAAATACATTTTACCTGGACAAAGTTATTGTTATTGAAGTATTAATAAAATGTTTAAATAATTTATATTATTATTAACCTTATCCAGATGAGCACCCTGGGCAGATTTGTGGGATCTATTTTTATTATCATAGGCTACTGGTTGTATGCATTACCCGTTGAGATTATAGGCGCCGGACTGGCCCTTAGATTACAGAAAATGGAGACCGATGTCAAACATAACCCTCAATTGATTCCGGCAGTCATATTAATTCAATCATATTGGAGGTTTGATATTAAATTTAAAAAACTAACTTGTTTAAACTTAAACTTATTGTGTTTATGTATACTAGGTGCTATGCGTCAAACCACAGGTCTCTATTCCAGACCACGTGGTATATCCCTCATAACCGGGTGATTGTGGACCGGAATCAGCGAAATGTTGTCCGATTCATAAGAACCGTAAAGTTATTGGCGGCTAAACAGGCCTTCAAAACAATGTGTCGTAAAACTGATATACACTTTGCGTACAAAAGTACTCACACAGAGCACCGGCAGATTGTCAACAGAATTAAGTTAATGCAGTTTGAGATAAAGGGTGTGGAGGAAAGGCTGGTGTTAACTGAAGATAGAGTTGTCGAGGATTTAGTGACAAGAATCGACAAAATCGATGACTTAAATATAGAAATGTATGAGAAATTCATGAAACAATCGCAACTATTTCATCGTTTGTTAAACAGTGATAAGAATTAGAATATTCTGTTGAGAGAGTGAGTGAGTGAGTGAGAGAGAGAGAGAGAGAGAGAGAGAGATGATAAAATTATTTACTCATCAAAATTTTATAAAATTTTATTTGCACTAAAAATGTATAATGTTTTGTCATATAAAATATAATATATTAATTTTTGTGCAATTTTGTTTCGAAAGTATAATTAAAAACAATAAATAAATAACATTACATGTTTGCGCACATAATACTGATTAGTGCTGAATTGTACAAGTAAATGTAATATACGATAAAAATTATATTGATATAATGATTAATTAACATACCTTTATTATTTTTCACACACCTAGATTCTTAATACAGATGTCAAGTTATTATTTATATATTAGTTTGTAAAATATCCCTGGATGCATAATGCTATATTTTTTGAATTACAAATTACGCTATTCTATCATTACATAATTGTAATATAATTTCTATTCAATAAAAGTTTTATAAAATTTTTATCACGGTATTGAGCCAATATTATTGACATAAGGTATACTGTATTCATATGACATTTATAACTTTTTATTTTCAATAATACAATGATTTACAAACAATATCTATTAGGCACTAATGACTGTGCAGTTAAAGCATCAAAATAAATAAATTTAAAAAAAGTCTGCCAAATATATAAAATATAATAACTATTACAAGTGAATATGAAATGCTAATAATTTGTTATTTCGAACAAACAATCGCAAAACGTTTTAGTCGACAACTTTGAATAAAACATTTAAAAAAAAAAGTCTGCCAAATATATAAAATATAATAACTATTACAAGTAAATATGAAATGCTAATAATTTGTTATTTTGAACAAACAATTGCAAAACGTTTTAGTCGACAACTTTGAATAAAACATTTAAAAATCCTTATTAAAAGATTTATTAAATTTTGAATTCAGATAATAGTTTAGCATAAAGTGTTCAAGAATATTCCGCAGCTTATCTGTAAAATTAAATTATTGTATTTACAGTATATGATCATTTAAAATATGACTAAAACATTTGTGATAAAAAATTTTGAATTAAGATAATAGTTTGGCATAAAGTGTTCAAGAATATTCCGCAGCTTATCTGTAAAATTAAATTATTGTATTTACAGTATATGATCATTTAAAATATGACTAAAACATTTGTGATAAGCGTCAATAAGTCTGGAACAGGTATGCAATTAATTTATGCGAAATTATAAATGCAAAACACATTTATTTGAGTAAATTTCATTGATTTACATACAGAAACCGCAAATGCATTGAAATCTAAACTTTTTGCAAAACTTCGACTTCGCCTAAAGACTGACACTGATTGTAGCCAACAGTCCACAGTGTGGTTCACTAACTACCGTATCCGACCTGACCCAGATGTCATTAACAATATCTACTTGAATACAACATTACCTCAAAAGGACAGACAATTGTCACTATACGAGCGAATACAGCATAAAATTTATGAATTCCTGAACAAACCGAGCGGTCTATTCGCGTATATCTATCACATACTGGTATTCCTTCTGGTATTCCTGTGTTTCATAATCATTGTCCTGTTGTCTGTCCAAAAATTTGCTGCCATATCGTGGAAAATCATGGATATCTTGGAGAAGGTGATCATCGCGTGGTTTGCGTTTGAGTTTGTCATCCGTTTGTGGGCCAGTGGTTGTCGACAGGCATACCAGGGCTGGAGCGGGAAAGTGCGATATCTACTCAAAATCCAGTCAATCATAGATATAGTGGTGATTGGGGTGTCATTAGGTCTCCTAAAGGACCACGACGATGACACGGCACATATCATCTTTGGGGCAGCCCTTCGGGGGTTTCACCGGCTTTTCCTAATCTTGCGGATAGTGTTGAGATGGGGTCCCGGAGCCGGTCAGACTGCGTTCAGACCGTTTATGTTAATGATAAAAGCGTTGTACAGTGATCGGGATCCGTTAATTATGAACTTATACATCGGTTTAATACTATACTTAGTGGCCTCATATGTGTTATATTTAGTCGAAAGTCCCTATAATAGTGCCCAGTTTACAAGTGCCGGCGCTTCTCTGTGGTGGTCGGTAGGTATCCCCACATACACTCATATACCTGTCATTTATTTAAAATATTATAATAAATAATAATTTATTTATTTTTTATTTTAAGGCCGAAAATCTGTTTGCTATAGGAGCTGCCGGAGTATATCCCGTATGTATTAAATAATATTAAGTTTTTTAAATGAATTGTTTCAATATGTTACATATTTGTAGATAACAATCCAGGGCAAATTTGTTACATCAATATCCTTATTTTTGGGCTATACTTTATTCATGTTACCCTCTGATATCATGGGCGCCGGACTGGCCCTTAAAGTGGACCAAATTGAGAGTGAAGTTAGAAATAAGTCACAAATATTGACGGCCGCCGAACTCATACAGTGTTACTGGAGGTATGTTTGTTTCATTTGATAGTTTTAAAATGCAAATAGTTTTCATAAGGAGTCATTTTTATACAGAAGTATATTAATTAATTTAGAAAGTTTATATACAGTAATAGTATCAAAATATTTTCTAATAATTGTAATTGTAGTCATATCTTACATATTAATAAAAGTATATGTTTAATGATTATGTATTATTTACAGACTTTATCGCAAAGACTTGACTAACCCCAGGTCACTATCCCGTGGCACATGGATTTTACGGGAAAACACGACTCTGATAAACAGGGATCAGAAAAATGCCGTCCGATTCATACGAACCCTAAAGTATTTGAGAGCTAAACACGCTTTCAAACAAACGTGTCATAAACTTAATAAACTACACGAATACAGTTGCTGTCATACAGAGCACCGGCAGATTAAAAACAGAATACAGTTATTGCATCTGGATATTAAGGGACTGGAGGACAGACTGGTTATACGTCGCGGACAAAGAGTGCAGAAATTGATGACAAGATTAGCTATAATTGAAGGCAGAAATATAGAAATGTATGAATTGCTTACAAAACACACGTTATATTTGGAGAATTTGTTACAACAGAAAGGTTTAACACAATATCCTGAACGCAGATAATAATTATTTTCAATTATGTTTCCTGTATATATATTCTGTTTATATAATATTATCCAAAATTAAATTCTTTAATGTAATTATAAAGTTATTAAACGAATTATAAACCTAATTACGATATTTTCAGTACATTTATTTTTTAAGTAAAATAATTTTTTGTGCAATATAATGTACCAGTATAAGTTTCGCAAATCAATCACAATAATTAACTATATTTAAAATTCAGTTTACTTATTCGCATGAGTTGAATAATGTAAGAATTGTATTTAGATTTACTTTAATCCATATGAAATGGATATAACCTTTTATAACCTAATACTGTAATTAGATAAATGACATTGCAATAAATGTTAGGATTTATTATAGAAATATTTATTTAAAAATTATACAACTACAATCATTGCAAATAATTTATATTTAATAATAAGTTATAATTTGGGAATATAATTATTTTTTGAGTTGGCAGACTAAGTGTCTATTATTATGTTAATTAATAAGATATTTCATAAGCATTTGGTGAGTTAACGTGATTCGCACTGTAAATCAGTTTGCTTTACCTTTTACCTTTACCTTGATATTATACTTATAGTTATATTCTGGTACATTATATAGTCAAGTAATTTTATTCTAGGGTATAAATAATTAAACCTAAAATATAACATTACCCAACTATATTATAGTTAACTAATAAGTCATATGATAATGATGTCATACACTCAATGGTAGCAATATATTGAGTAAAATCGGATATTTTATGTTTTTCTGTGGATTTTCATCGATTCTCATATTTATTATCCGTATTTCGTCTCTCATTCACATCGAAGCGAATAAATCATACAATTTATTAAACACTATATATTGTATGAAAACTACTACTGATGTCAAGGTTTTGTCTAAATTTAAGGTAAATAAAGGTTTCGTTTATTAATTATAATAACAACTATTTTATTTGTTTAGTTACTATCAGTACTGAACAGAATTGGCGCCAAAAGGGTTGGTTTTTATTGTTGAAAACTATTTATTATAAACTCGTTCAGTGGTTACGAGGTAATAGTGTATTATATAAAATTAACTCACCTGACACACTTGAAAATACTGGACACATCCCTATAAATATTATTTTTTAAAAATTATTGATTATATTTGCAAGTTAATTATAAATTTAAGTTCGAAATTGTAAGAATGCAGAATTATTTTCTTATAAACAAAATAAATCTAAAAAATTAGCAATGTTTTATGATTTAACATAAAAATCAACACAATTGCTTTAAAATAAGGACTTGGTGCTTACCTGTTAGGCAAAAATTAGCCTAAAATTCACTGTATATTTACCAGATCATTAGTTATCTGTTATCAGATCATTAACTATTACAGTAGTTATCACATGGACATCTTAAAATATTGAAGTAATTAGTAATGACTGAATATTTTTCTCACTGCTAGATTTTTAATATTCAAGTTATATCTAATATTTTTGTATAATTTCCCTGGGTGAGCATATTTTAGGTGTTTATGCATTACAAATGATTACTGTAATATTATTTCAATTCAATAAAGATTTTAAATAATTCAATAAATTATAATTTCAAAATAAAATTCAAAAAATACAGAATTATATATAACATTACTTATAAATTAAAATAAATCTAAAAATTAATAGTTTTATGAATTAACAAAAAAATGAACAAATTTGTACTATAATTATATTTATAACTAGTGGCCAACCATTTAAGACTTCCCTCACATTCATTCCTATCAAACAATTTACTCTTCATTTATGAGACCCGTAGGCATCTCATCGCCAAACCCACTGTCATCTGATATATGATCATCGACTCCGTCCTCATCATCAGACAGTACTTCCACTTCTTGTTCGTCAATGTGGTGACCATTAACCGCCTGTCCATTGAACTCAAACCCATAGACTGTGTTTTGATTGACACCCGATATGATACAAATGTAACCAATTATAGTGACAGTAATGGCAATAAAAGCAAAGGCCAATCTATTCAATTCATTTGATACTAAAATCGATACGATTAGTGTTATACCGATCGGTATGACTACCGGTGCTATCGATGCGAATAGATTTGGCATAAAGTTGATCGCAAAACGATTTGTAACAGTAATTGATAGAAATGTATTGATTTTGTGGTAATTTAATGTTTAAATGTATAGCAAAATTGATTCAAAATGTATTTTAAAGAGTAATTATTTCTGTTATTAAATTGACGTTAATTTAAATACTTTAATCAAAATTGTTAATTATATTAGCGTTCATTAGGATTTTTTATAATTCGCGTGACCAATGTAATTATATATTTAAAAATCAATTTAATCTATTATGCAAAACAATGATAATTAAATTTAAAGTAATAATCACAGTATTTTTAACAAATCATTTGCAATTATGAAATATATAAAACCTTTTCTTATAGCTAAGCTAAATGATAAGATTTTTAATTCGGATTTAGCTTTTGATTATATAATTTTAATATATTACAAGTTATTAAATTATCACTTAGGATCTTAAATATGAATAAAGTGTTTGTAATAAATAAGTCTGGTATGGGTATGCAATTAATTTATGTCAAATTATAAATTCAAAACACATTTAATTAAATAAAATTGTATTACATTTTACAGATCATACTCCGGCACTGAAATCAAAGGGACTTTTGGCAAAACTTGGATGTCGTCTACCGAATGACACCCTATTTAATAGACAGCCGATAGTGATGCTCACTGACTACCGTACCCAACATGACCCAGACAATATTAACAGTACTTATCCGAATGAAATATTACCTAAAAAGGACAGTCAGTTAAAACAATACGAGCAAATACAGCATAATGTCTATGAATTCCTGTACAAACCGAGTGGTCTATTCTCGTATACCTATCATATACTGGTCTTCCTGTTGGTGTTCATGTGTTTTGTGTGGACTATCCTGTTGTCTATCCAACGATTTTCTGTCATATCGTGGAAAGTCATGGCTTTCTTGGAACGGGTAATCATCTCATGGTTTGTATTTGAGTTTGTCATCCGTTTGTGGGCCAGTGGTTGTCGGCCGGCATACCAGGGCTGGCGCGGGAAAGTGCGATATCTATGCAAAATCCCGACAATCATAGATATAGTGGTGATTGGGGTGTCAATAGGTCTGTTAATAGCCCACGTCTATAGCACAGCACATGTCATTTTTGGGGCAGCCCTTCGAGGTTTTCACCGCCTATTCCTAATCATAGGAATAGTGTTGAGTTGGGGTCCCGGAGCCGACACTGCCTTTCGACCGTTTCGTATAATTCTGTCAGTGCTGTACAGACAGAGGGATCCCCTTATTATAATCCTATACTTCTGTTTCATAATATCCTGTGTGTCCTCATATATGGTATATTTAGTCGAAAGTCCCTACAATAGTGTGTTTAATAATATCGACGATGGTTTGTGGTGGTCGGTAGGTATTCCCCATACTCTCAAACCTTTTACTTTATATTATACCTGTATTTATGTTTTTAATTTTAATTTTTATATAAAGATTGTGACCATGTTTGGTGTCGGAGCCGCTATTGTTCCAGTTAGTTACAAACATAATATGTGTTTATTATGAATATTATATTATGTCAATACTGTATCCATTTGTCGCATATTTGTAGATAACATCCCTGGGCAAAATTGTAGCATCAGTGTTTGTTATATTGTTTTATTATCTATTCCAATTACCCGTTGATGTCATTGGCACCGGACTCGCCCTTAAAGTACAACAAATTGAAAGTGAAGTCCAGAATAAGTCACGAATATTAGCAGCCGCTGCACTTATACAGTCATCCTGGAGGTTTTATACAAAATACTTTTGTTATTTAGAGTTGTGTCGATGAGTTATTTATTGAAAAAATAGTTTCATATAGATGTGGCAGTTATCAATATGACTACCTATTAATAAATGTGTTATTTTTAATTTATGTGTATATTTTACAGACTTTATTCAACTAACTCCAAGTCTCTACCAATTGTTACATGGATTTCAACCAAAAATACCGCTATCGGGGACAGGGATCAGCGAAATGCCTTCCGATTCATACGGATACTAAAGTTTTTGAGGGCTAAGCATGTGTTCAAACAAACGTGTCGTAAGATAGGTGAACAACACCCGGATGAGTGCAGTCCTATAGAGCACCGGCAGATTAGAAACAGAGTAAAGTTATTGCGTACGGATTTGAAGGGACTGGAGGACAGACTGGTTATATGTTACGGACAAAGAGTGCTGAAATTAATGACTAAATTAGCCACAATTGATGACAGGAATAGAGAAATGTCTGAAAGGCTTACAAAACAGTCGCTATATTTGGAGAATTTGTTAGAAAAGAAAAAACTTAAAGAATATTCTGAATGTTAAGAGTAATTAATTATTACTACAATATAACTATTTGGTGTAATGTATATAATACATACAGTATATATTATATACAGTGTCATACCATTAACTTCAAATAATATAAAAAACAGATCTTATAAAAAAATTAATTTCAATATTATTGTTTTACTAAATTTAATATACTTTTTAATATACTTATATAATTGGCAATACTTTTTAAATAATTTACTAAAATATACCAGTATATTTAATGTCCAAAATTAATGACTTTGCATTTAATTACATAACTCAGGAAGTCTTAGGTTTGTACATAACAATGATAATTAAATGTAAAATTTAATTTTATTATGTAATTTTATTTAACTTACAAATCATTTTCAATTGAGTAATAAAATTTTTATTATTATATTATGTCAGTATTTTAAGTGAGTTTCTGTACAACTTCTGATTTTATAAATTGCAAAATATGTAATTAAATATTTTATAAAAATTATTTACAAAATATGAATCAAAAGTGTGTTACAGTTATCGATGTCAATAACTCGGGGAATGGTATATAAATTCTTCAAATGTTCATACAGTATATGATAATAATGTTAAAATAAATAATTGTCTTTAAGATCCCGTAGATATTGTAAGCGATAATAAACCTAAAGGACAGTCGCCTCCCGATATGTCCGATGAGAGTGACCTAACTGTTACCGTTAGCTATTTGGGTACAGTATTACCGAAAAAGCACCGGAAGTTGACATTATATGAGAGAATACAACAAAATGTATATGAATTCCTGNGTCGCCTCCCGATATGTCCGATGAGAGTGACCTAACTGTTACCGTTAGCTATTTGGGTACAGTATTACCGAAAAAGCACCGGAAGTTGACATTATATGAGAGAATACAACAAAATGTATATGAATTCCTGCACAAACCGAGTGGTCTATTCGCGTATATCTATCACATACTGGTATTCCTTCTGGTATTCCTGTGTTTCATAATCATTGTCCTGTCGTCTGTCCAAAAATTTGCTGCCATATCGTGGAAAATCATGGATATCTTGGAGAAGGTGATCATCGCGTGGTTCGTATTTGAGTTTGTCATCCGTTTGTGGGCCAGTGGTTGTCGACAGGCATACCAGGGCTGGGGCGGGAAAGTGCGATATCTACTCAAAATCCAGTCAATCATAGATATAGTGGTGATTGGGGTGTCATTAGGTCTCGTAAAGGACCACGAAGATGACACGGCACATATCATCTTTGGGGCAGCCCTTCGGGGGTTTTACCGGCTTTTCCTAATCCTAAGGATAGTGTTGAGATGGGGTCCCGGAGCCGGTCAGACTGCGTTCCGACCGTTTATGTTAATGATAAAAGCGTTGTACAGTGACCGGGATCCATTAATCATGAACTTATACATCGGTTTCATACTATACTTAGTGGCCTCATATGTGCTATATTTAGTCGAAAGTCCCTATAATAGTACCCTGTTTACAAGTGCCGGCGCTTCTCTGTGGTGGTCGGTAGGTATCCCCACATACACTCATATACCTGTCATTTATTTAAAATATTATAATAAATAATAATTTATTTATTTTTAATTTTAAGGCCGAAAATCTGTTTGCTATAGGAGCTGCTAATGTACTTCCCGTATGTATTAAACAATATTAAGGCTTTTTAAATGAACTGTTTCAATATGTTACATATTTGTAGATAACAATCCAGGGCAAATTTGTTGCATCAATATCCTTATTTTTGGGCTATACTATATTCATGTTACCCTCTGATATCATGGGCGCCGGACTGGCCCTTAAAGTGGACCAAATTGAGAGTGAAGTTAGAAATAAGTCACAAATATTGACGGCCGCCGAACTCATACAGTGATGGGCTATACTTTATTCATGTTACCCTCTGATATCATGGGCGCCGGACTGGCCCTTTTTCACCTGGTTTAACTCTCACTTCAATCTTTATTCAGTGTTTATAACTGCCGGCGGCTTGAGTATGTCACGATGACCTCCATACAGACAACAAAGTAAACTAAATAACGAAGTTATAAATTCAAAAAAAATGCAAATAGTTTTCATAAGCAGTCATTTTTATAAAGTAATATATTAATTAATTTAGAAAGTTTATACACAGTAATAGTATCAAAATATTTTCTGATAATTGTAATTGTAGTAATATCTTACATATTAATAAAAGCTTATGTTTAATGATTCTGTATTATTTACAGACTTTATCGCAAAGACTTGACTAACCCCAAGTCACTATCCCGTGGTACATGGATTTTACGGGAAAACACGACTCTGATAAACAGGGATCAGAAAAATGCCGTCCGATTCATACGAATCCTAAAGTATTTGAGGGCTAAACACGCGTTCAAACAAACGTGTGATAAACTTAATAAACTACACGAATACAGTTGCTGTCATACAGAGCACCGGCAGATTAGAAAC